TCAGATAATAGTAGAAATCAGAATCTCTTTTAGTTTGCTTTATTTTAGGAAAATCTGATTTTTAGGGTCCACAGAACTTACAAATTTCAAATATGAAACATAAGAGGTTGATTTCTTGCCAGCTTTTCCCTGTTCTTTTTTTAGTTATTGGTCGCCTATTGCAAGATTTCTTTTTTTTGTCATGGAAATGATTAGTGAAATTATTTATCAATCTTGTTTTTATTTGCAAAAGTGTCTTTTGGAATCAGGATATTAATTTTATTTGTTGTGCTTTTTTTTCCTAATATAGTCTGGTTTGTTAACATCTCGTTTTATGTTTTGGGCTTTTTTTTTCGATTGATTAATAGTCAGAGCTGCATTATATAAGGGTAATCTTTTAGCACTGATAAGGAAGCTATTCTTTCTTTTACTAGAGTGTTAGATATATGACTGAGATTAAATACCTTTGAAAAGAAACGAGACAATCAGTCTAAGTGATTTTAACAGTGTTAGGGAACTCTATATACTGCTACATCATTGAAAAAGGTAGAAGGAAAGGAAACTGGGTAGTTTTTAATGCATTAGTGTATTGCGAAGTCTTGATTTCAGTTAATTCTGGGTGTATTTGCTTTTGCCACGATTGGGGTTGGGAAACGGTAATAGCTGTCTCCAGCTTATGGGCAAGGAGGCCACATTTCACTTCATAACCCTGCAGTGGTGGCAGAAGGTTTTGGGGCCTTGTTTGTTTGTTTGGTTTTTATTTTATTTTTCCCCTTCAGGAAAATACTATTACTCACTGTCGTTTATCTGAGTCGTGCAGAACAATTCTATCTTTCTGGACCATATTTAATCTTAGATCAATACTATAGGCTAAGTGTAAGTCATTTTTTCTGTCATCTTCACCCTTTTTTTTCAAGGAACCAGGCCGGGAAGTTGTCATAAGGTCTGATGTTCCAGCAGAAACTATAATTACTGCCCTCAGGAGAGGGAAAACAAAAGAATATATTAATCTAATCCTTTGGGAGAGCAGGCAGCTTCCTGAAGTGTAGTTATTTCATCTTCTGGGAGTGGTGAAAGAACTGGGCCAGAGAACAGAGAAGTCTTCATCTGTACTTGGATGAACAGAAAGTAATTTATTATTTTATTATTATTTTTATTATTATTTGATTCCTGATAAAGAAGCTTCTAGTGTTACAAGAAAGGGAGGGGAAACTCCTACTAGGGGCAATATCTGGCAATATGTCAGATGAATGAATTAAGAATTAAGGCTGCCGTATAATCCTGAATTTATCAAGTCAACATCCTGCCGATTTGACTAAGGCACAATTCATGCCGAGAAAATTATCTTCCTTTGGAAGACTGGAGATATTTCACAAGTTTCCTTATAGGTTGTTTTTCATGCCGTAGTGGGAGGGAAAGCTTTGAGAATCATTCTCAGTAAGCATAATGGGAAATAATGGAACCCTGTGATTCCTGTAAGGATATACCAAAAATTGTTTTATGTTTACTGAACATTAGAACAGCTACGATTAACATTATTTTAAAAAAAAAGTCATCAAAGACAGAGTGTTAATAATTTGTTACTCTCTACAGTGTTCTTTATTGGACAAGGAGGTCAGTTTGAGTAAGTAATCAGAATAAATTTGAACTGGTCTGAAATTTATGTGAGAGAAATTGAATCTCCCTTAGTCTAACATCATTTGAGAAGATTTTAGCCCTGGATAGCATACACAAGGAAGTACCCAAGGTGTGGAAAGGGGTCAACTTTATTATCTTCTTTTAATTTTGTTTTATTAAGTGCAATATATTTGTGAACCTTTGCATAATAAATGGAAAACTCCTGACGATGGGCTTATTGATTTTTTTCAAGATATATCCATAAAATTACAGATTTCCACTCTTCCTCCGGATTTGTAAAGGGAAGAATTGTCATAATCCATATTAGTCTTTAAGAGATTCGCCTTATTCATTCCTTTCTTATCACATGAATACAGAGAGAGTCTAAGTGTCGTTTCATTAAATAATAATAACTGGTAAAATCTGTCATTTTGTGCATGTATCTTGAAAAGAAACAAATAAACTACACTTAGACAGGTACTAATGGACTGGGAGGTGTATAGACTAGAACTAGCACTGCCTCTGTGACTAGTTGAAATCTCCATTTGTTGTTGTCATGGAGGTCACTATTATTAGTTTAGAATAAATCTTTCCCTCAGATTGACAGCCATTCTTATGATAAAGCGTTCAGTCGGCCCACTGGGCAAATTCATTTTACTACACTCTGAGCAGAAATAACCAACAGATAAAAATGGTCATTAAAAATAGTTCCTAGTTTCTGTGTTCACTCAATATGTGATAAGTATTTCTACGATCTCGCACCTTTGTGTTTTTCATGCTTGTTATTACATTCAGATCCACCACCCTCTCCCCTCATACACATATATATTTTTCTCTTGCCGGCTGAATTGCATGGGACACCTCACAAAGCCATGTATTTTCTCCCGCACTTCACATGTTGAGATAAATACGTCTTCAGTTTCTTGGAAATAACCATTTTTCAGAAAGACAAGTGTAATTGGGAAAGAATAGTGCATTTATCTTTTGTTAATTAGATATTCAAGACAGCCTATTTAGATGTTTTCCCAGTCACAGGTCGCTGAAAAACGATGTTCTGCATTTATTTCATTTATCTCTTTATATTTTCTTTTCGCCCTGAATAAGGTTTACTTCCCTGATTTTATGGGAGATGCTACTGTGTGAAACACCGATTCGTTGCAAGAGGGCTGATTACAGATATTCTTTCACAGCAGCAAGAAAACAGCACATTAAAGAAGAGGAAAGGGATATTTGAAAGGAGAAAGTCAGAACCAATCTCTTTTTGGAATATCGAATTAGCACTGTCTGAGGAGAAGACACGGATGAGGTGATACAAATTCTTATCTTACTCCGAAAAGATCAAAGAGGTAAATAGCGGAGTGCCATTATCAGTGCAAGACGCTTCCAACAATAGCTTTCATTCACTTGAACAGAGAAATCAGTTTTGCATAATAATGTATCCTGATGAAAAGACATACCCTCAAAGGAGTGGCTTTTCAGGTTTAACTCGTAGCCCAGTTCAAATTTTCATTCTAGCGCACAATGTATTTTAAAAACTCCAATAGGAAGAGAATAGGAAACATGAAGAGTGTTTTGTTGTTGTTGTTTTAATGTTTTAAAACTGAAAGGTACTATTTATTAGTAGCAGCTACTCTGTCTCCGGAATATAACAGAAGGGACCCCTCCCACTCCCCCGAAAGACGCTATGTTGAAAACACAGTAACATTAAGATACTAACTTCAGAGAGGAAAATCTTTGTTGTTTCTTCCACTGGAATACCTAATAAACGAGAGGTAATATCTACTGTAGCACACACTATTAAAGCATAAAACTCTCTCCGGGAGGCATTATCTAACAGTTTGTGGTCTTTCAAGAGAAACTATCTGAGCGGGCTTAGGTGATTTCGGAGGGAAGCGGGTCGGCCCAAGGAGACAGTTCAGTATTCACGTCTGGGACCACGGGGAGAGGCTGTGTTACTTCCTCGGCTTTCACACGGATTTACCCCGAGAAATACTGTTCAAAACAGTCCATTTTCGGTCCTGATGTGGAGAAAACCCTCTAAACTTCAAATCTGTGTGCTGACTGTCCTGAAATCTCTAATGGTATAATATTAATTTAGAGGATAAAACGAAAGTTTCTCTTTCCCCATCTCTTCGTTTTCCACGGGGAAACTCCTCTCACTGGCAGGATGCACGTCTCCCTCCTCTTCTGCAAGAAAGGGGGTGAATCGGTGCTCAGTTTCGGGGAAAAAAGGCACTTTTTCGCGCTGCAAGAAACACAGCCGGAGCGGCGGCCGGCGGCGGGCAGGACTC